GTTGGCGATACTGAAAAAAAGACGTGGAATAGTCTAAGTATGTGCTACCGACTCATTTCCGTCGGTTTTCATGTTTGTATTATCCGTAGTTTTCTTTAGGCTGCCAGGCTGCCAGGCTGCTAGGCTGTTAGGCTGCCAGGCTGCTAGGCTGCCAGGCTGTTAGGCTGCCAGGTTGTTAGGCTGATAGCTTCACAAATTTCGAAGAGTAAAGAAAAAAAGCAAAGTTCAATATTTAAAAAAAATAAGTTGGCGATACTGAAAAAAAGACGTGGAATAGTCTAAGTATGTGCTACCCGGACTCATTTCCGTCGGTTTTTCATGTTTGAATTATCCGTACTTTTCTTTAGGCTGTTAGGGGCTGCCAGGCTGCTAGGCTGCTAGGCTGTCAGGCTGCTAGGCTTGCTAACTTCAAATTTCGAAGCGTCAGAATGAAAAAAATATGTTACGATAAAGTTCAACATCTTAAAAAATAAAGATCACGATATTGAAAAAGACGTGGAATGATCTAAAAGAAGAAGTGCTGCTAATGTATTTCCCGACGGTTTTCATTCTTGTACTATTCTTAGTTTTATTTAGGCTGCCAGGCTGCTAGGCTGCTCAAAATTTCGAAGAGTAAATAAAAAAAAAAGCAAAGTTCAATATTTAAAAAATTTAAGTTGGCGATACTGAAAAAAGAACGTGGAATAGTCTAAGTATGTGCTACCGACTCATTTCCGTCGGTTTTCATGTTTGTATTATCCGTAGTTTTCTTTAGGCTGTTAGGCTGCCAGGCTGCTAGGCTTGCCAGGCTGCTAGGCTGCTAATTTCAAATTTCGAAGCGTCAGAATGAAAAAAATATGTTACGCGATAAAGTTCAACATCTTAAAAAATAAAGATCACGATATTGAAAAAGGAGTGGAATGATCTTAAAGAAGTGCTACTAATGTATTTCCGACGGTTTTCATGTTTGTACTATTCTTAGTTTTCTTAAGGCTGCTAGGCTGCTAGGCTGCCAGGCTGCTAGGCTGCTAGGCTTGCCAGACTGCTAGGCTGCCAGGCTGTTAGGCTGATAGCTTCACAAATTTCGAAGAGTAAAGAAAAAAAGCAAAGTTCAATATTTAAAAAAAATAAGTTGGCGATACTGAAAAAAGACGTGGAATAGTCTAAGTATGTGCTACCGACTCATTTCCGTCGGTTTTCATGTTTGAAATATCCGTAGTTTTCTTTAGGCTGTTAGGCTGCCAGGCTGCTAGGCTGCCAGGCTGCTAGGCTGCTAGGCTGCCAGGCTGTAAGGCTGCTTACTTCAAATTTATGTATTTCCGACGGTTTTCATGTTTGTACTTTTCTTAGTTTTCTTAAGGCTGCTAGGCTGCTAGGCTGCCAGGCTGCTAGGCTGCTAGGCTGCCAGGCTGTTAGGCTGATAGCTTCACAAATTTCGAAGAGTAAAGAAAATACCGGAAAACTCAATATTTAAAAAAAATAAGTTGGCGATACTGAAAAAAGACGTGGAATAGTCTAAGTATGTGCTACCGACTCATTTCCGTCGGTTTTCATGTTTGTATTATCCGTAGTTTTCTTTAGGTTGTTAGGCTAGGCTGCTAGGCTGCTAGGCTGCTAGGCTGTCAGGCTGCTAGGCTGCTAACTTCAAATTTCGAAGCGTCAGAATGAAAAAAATATGTTACGATAAAGTTCAACATCTTAAAAAATATATTATCACGATATTGAAAAAGGCCGTGGAATGATCTAAAGAAGTGCTGCTAATGTATTTCCGACGGTTTTTTTCATGTTTGTACTATTCTTAGTTTTATTTAGGCTGCCAGGCAGCCTAGGCTGCTAGGCTGCTCAAATTTCGAAGAGGAAAAAAAAAAAAAAGCAAAGTTCAATATTTAAAAAAATATAAGTTCGCGATACTGAAAAAAGACGTGGAATAGTCTAAGTATGTGCTACCGACTCATTTCCGTCGGTTTTCATGTTTGTATTATCCGTAGTTTTCTTTAGGCTGTTAGGCTGCCAGGCTGCTAGGCTGCTAGGCTGCCAGGCTGCTAGGCTGCTAGGCTGCTAGGCTGCTAACTTCAAATTTCGAAGCGTCAGAATGAAAAAAAAATATGTTACGATAAAGTTCAAACATCTTAAAAAAATAAAGATCACGATATTGAAAAAGGCGTGGAATGATCTAAAGAAGTGCTACTAATGTATTTCCGACGGTTTTCATGTTTGTACTATTCTTAGTTTTCTTAAGGCTGCTAGGCTGCTAGGCTGCCAGGCTGCTAGGCTGCTAGGCTGCCAGGCTGCTCGGCTTGCCAGGCTGCTGTTAGGCTGATAGCTTCACAAATTTCGAAGAGTAAAGAAAAAAAGCAAAGTTCAATATTTAAAAAAAATAAGTTGGCGATACTGAAAAAAAGACGTGGAATAGTCTAAGTATGTGCTACCGACTCATTTCCGTCGGTTTTCATGTTTGAATTATCCGTACTTTTCTTTAGGCTGTTAGGCTGCCAGGCTGCTAGGCTGCTAGGCTGCCAGGCTGCTAGGCTGCTAACTTCAAATTTTCGAAGCGTCAGAATGAAAAAATATGTTACGATAAAGTTAAACATCTTAAAAAAATAAAGATCACGATATTGAAAAGGCGTGGAATGATCTAAAAAGAAGTGCTGCTAATGTATTTCCGACGGTTTTCATGTTTGTACTATTCTTAGTTTTATTTAGGCTGCCAGGCTGCTAGGCTGCTAGGCTGCTCAAATTTCGAAGAGTAAAATAAAAAAAAAAAGCAAAGTTCAATATTTAAAAAAATTAAGTTGGCGATACTGAAAAAAGACGTGGAATAGTCTAAGTATGTGCTACCGACTCATTTCCGTCGGTTTTCATGTTTGTATTATCCGTAGTTTCTTTAGGCTGCCAGGCTGCCAGGCTGCTAGGCTGCCAGGCTGCTAGGCTGCTAGGCTGCCAGGCTGCTAGGCTGCCAGGCTGCTAGGCTGCCAGGTTGTTAGGCTGATAGCTTCACAAATTTCGAAGAGTAAAGAAAAAAAGCAAAGTTCAATATTTTAAAAAAGATAAGTTGGCGATACTGAAAAAAGACGTTGAAATAGTCTAAGTATGTGCTACCGACTAATTTCGTCGGTTTTCATGTTTGAATTATCCGTACTTTTCTTTAGGCTGTTAGGCTGCCAGGCTGCTAGGCTGCTAGGCTGCCAGGCTGCTAGGCTGCTAACTTCAAATTTCGAAGCGTCAGAATGAAAAAAATATGTTACGATAAAGTTCAACATCTTAAAAAATAAAGATCACGATATTGAAAAAGGCGTGGAATGATCTAAAGAAGTGCTGCTAATGTATTTCCGACGGTTTTCATGTTTGTACTATTCTTAGTTTTATTTAGGCTGCCAGGCTGCTAGGCTGCTAGGCTGCTCAAATTTCGAAGAGTAAAATAAAAAAAAAGCAAAGTTCAATATTTAAAAAAAAATTAAGTTGGCGATACTGAAAAAAAGACGTGGAATAGTCTAAGTATGTGCTACCGACTCATTTCCGTCGGTTTTCATGTTTGTATTATCCGTAGTTTTCTTTAGGCTGCCAGGCTGCCAGGCTGCTAGGCTGCCAGGCTGCTAGGCTGCTAGGCTGCCAGGCTGCTAGGCTGCCAGGTTGTTAGGCTGATAGCTTCACAAATTTCGAAGAGTAAAGAAAAAAAGCAAAGTTCAATATTTAAAAAAGATAAGTTGGCGATACTGAAAAAAGACGTTGAATAGTCTAAGTATGTGCTACCGACTCATTTCGTCGGTTTTCATGTTTGAATTATCCGTACTTTTCTTTAGGCTGTTAGGCTGCCAGGCTGCTAGGCTGCTAGGCTGCCAGGCTGCTAGGCTGCTAACTTCAAATTTCGAAGCGTCAGAATGAAAAAAAATATGTTACGATAAAGTTCAACATCTTAAAAAATAAAGATCACGATATTGAAAAAAGGCGTGGAATGATCTAAAGAAGTGCTGCTAATGTATTTCCGACGGTTTTCATGTTTGTACTATTCTTAGTTTTATTTAGGCTGCCAGGCAGCCTAGGCTGCTAGGCTGCTCAAATTTCGAAGAGGAAATTAAAAAAAAAAGCAAAGTTCAATATTTAAAAAAATAAAGTTCGCGATACTGAAAAAAAGACGTGGAATAGTCTAAGTATGTGCTACCGACTCATTTCCGTCGGTTTTCATGTTTGTATTATCCGTAGTTTTCTTTAGGCTGCTAGGCTGCCAGGCTGCTAGGCTGCCAGGCTGCTAGGCTGCTAGGCTGCTAACTTCAAATTTCGAAGCGTCAGAATGAAAAAAATATGTTACGATAAAGTTCAACATCTTAAAAAATAAAGATCACGATATTGAAAAAGGCGTGGAATGATCTAAAGAAGTGCTACTAATGTATTTCAGACGGTTTTCATGTATGTACTATTCTTAGTTTTCTTTAGGCTGCTAGGCTGCTAGGCTGCCAGGCTGCTAGGCTGCTAGGCTGCTAGGCTGCCAACTTCAGGCTGCCAGGCTGCTAGGCTGCTAGGCTGCCAACTTCAGGCTGCTAGGCTGCTAGGCTGCTAGGCTGCCAACTTCACGAACATTGTTTATTTGCGCATTTTTAAAGGTTTTATTTGTCCGAATAATCTTAAGGCACCGTCAAACTGCTGTAAGAAAGTCACTGTGTTGGCATGAATTAAAAATTCTACTACCATACTTATTAACTATTATTTATTCATAAATGTGTGAAGTTTCAAGTTACGCGTTACCAAAAAGCAAAATAAATACAAGTCGCGTTCAATAATATCATGAATGAAAAGGTCAGGGCGGGAACCAAAGCTCTGAAAGCGCTGTCAATCATAAATTCATTTAACACGTGTGCCCTTCAAAAACAATCTTTTCAAATGAACATCGTCTTCTTAAATAACGAAATCAAATTCCACTCGTTAGTTTTAAACCGTAAATTGGTTTATAATATAAAGCAAATTGATTTTTCTTAATATGTTATTGGATTTAAAACGCTGTATATAGCTTTATGAAATTGGATCTAGATAGATTAATGCTATTCTATTTATTTAAAGTATTTCGCAAAACGTACATTTGTTTTCTTAAGAAGTAACATTACGTTAAAATTTAAATATAACCTAGTCGGAACTACTCGGTCAGAAGTTCAATCAATTAAAAGAAACTCTTAATTATTTTAGTTTTGATGGTTGCTTACAAGGAGCGTTTAGTGCCATAGTAACGTTTAAGAATAACAACCGAAATATTCCAACTATAAACATGCTTGATTCTATTTGGATATTATTTTCATAAAATATATTTAATCGAATTACATCGTCTATTGGTTTTAACTTCAAGAGCAAATATTTTAATGAACAGAATACCTTTAAAATTTTGTCAGTTTAAATCGACACTTGATTACTTAAGGATATTGAAAGTGGGACATTTACAATATATTTGTTTTATTTGAAGTGGGTATCGTTTTTGTCGTATATAAAGCAATACACCTGCTTTACCAGTATGACAGTGTCACTTAATCTTTTGTGAGAAAGTACAATAAGAAGACACTGATTTCGATATGACATCTTTCGTTAAAACTTTAAGAACTTTTTGTAAACCGAAGGGAACACCGTTCTTTGGATTCAAGAAGGAGGTGTACTCAATGTCAAGCGTTGTCTCGAATTCGGATATTCCGAACAATTGTCATAAATCGAACACATATGATGTAAAGCTGACTGACTGCAACGGACCGGAAGTGCTTTCACTAAAGGAAGTGAAACGAGGCCGGTTACACATGTACTTTCATCAAATTAGTCGGAAATATGGTTCAATAACAAAATTTAAACTTTTGAGAAAAAATATTTACGTGCTGAATTCATTTGATTCGGTGGAGAAGTTGTTGCGTGTGAACGAACATGCGAACGGACGATCCAGTCCTTTCTTCCAGAACTATGTGTTGCTAAATAAAGGATTTTCGTTCAGTGATTTCACAAAGATTGGCGAAAAACAAAAAGGAATTTTAAAAAGTTGGTTACATTATGAAATTATTCATTCAACAAGCATTGTACTTGACGAGATAAACAGTTTCAATTCCTCTCTGTTAAATCAAAATGGAAACCTTAACACTGACTTGTTTATTAGACAATTCCTTAGCAACGTTTTTAGCAAACAGGTAAAATTATTTTTATTTTGATCTTAGAATATATTCACATGAACATTTTGGGGTTTTATGTGTATTAATTAAACATGAGCGTCTTGTAGTTTGCAGTAAAATATCCATGGTAAGAGTTTGATTAATACATGTATCTCGAAATATGTTTTTTTAACCATTAGTTTAGTAACTGTACATTTGCTTTACATGTATGGAATGATTTTATTTTTCGATTGCAATTCAATAGGCTCGATAAGTGAACCAAAAGTTGGCAGTTCTGTCAAAGTAAGTCTTATTCTACTGAAATATACTATACATTTTCCTCCGACAGTTTGTCGCTTTGTAAATTAAGTCGTATCAAACAACAACAACAACAACAAAAATAATAATAATGAAAACAACAACAACAACAATAACAATGATAATGATAATAAAACTAATTCTAATAATAATGATAATAATAATAATAATAATAATAATAATAATAATAATAATAATAATAATAATAATTATAATAATTAATTATAATAATTCAAACAACAACAACACTCGTCATCACTTCATCAACGAAAGCATATAAGAAATTACATTATATTGCAAATTACCCATTTATACCGAACGTGAGATTTAATGGTTAACCAGGGTTTTTCAAATAAGTTTTTGAAGTTCTCTGGAGTAACCAAAAATTTGACCTGGATTAACCAAACATTTGACCTACTTTAAAAACTTAACGTACTGAATAAACATTTAGACTTTCATAATAATAAATCTTTAAATGATTAATCTTTTAAATAATTATTTAATTTAAATTATTTGAGAGGCGTGTGAAAATTAATGGCAACAATAGGAATTAAGTTCCGTAAGAACTTTTGTCCCGACTTCTTATATATGCACTGAAATAACATTCTTGGAGATAGGAATTACGACACAAAAGGCAAATTTATAACATTGAATAGGACGCGATTGTTAAGTATTATTCGTGATATTTTGTGTGTGCAAAATTTCGAAATATTATTAACACGAACACTGGATATCTCGAATTCTCACACGCAAGAATACACTTATTTTTCAATAAAGTATAGTTCTTATCTTCGTATCAAATTCCGGTGTGACATAAAGTATAACAGGACCTTAAAAGTACACAGATTTTGAGAAATGAAAATAAAATCATTTCAGAAGAATAATGGCATTATCCCTGACATGGACTTTTTCTGCATTTAATTCAAAATAGTAAATTATGATTTTTGTGTAAGAAATATGAAATTTACCGTCCGACTGTGTATTTGTTATAGGTTCTTCATATCTTTATATGCGCTTAAATAACGATAGAAAAACTAATACTTCACCACCATCACCACCACCACCTCCACAATTTTTAACAACAACAGCAACAACAACAACAAAGGTAGAAGCAGCACCGCCGACATTACTACAATTCCCACAGAAACAAAAGCAGCAAAAATATATACAATGCACTATATGTAGTTAATTATTTTTCTATCATTCTTTGCATACGTGCTTCCACAGAAAAATGGAGAAATATAATTGCGATATATGTATATATGGTCGTTAAATGCATTATTTTGTACATATCTACTTAAGATTAACACAACCAAAATAATTTGAAATCGGAAATTCATGAAGTATGTATCAACTTTTCAGACAAAAGACATTTTTGTGACATTTTTATTTAAACTTCACTCTGGTTTGTGTATATATTTTTTTTTCAAACAGTCATTTGATATTGTCGAAGCGAAAGAAATTTTTATCATACTTCTTTAAAGATGGTCAGACATGATATAAACTAATATATATGAAATGAGTGTTTGTTGCTTTGAGAACATAAACAAAACCGCGTGGTTCAATTGTCTTTTAAACGAAACCGGACACTTAAGAGCGAAATGGAACTCGTTTAAACGAAATGCGAGTCGCGTGTGACTCTAAGTTATTTTGAATAAATTAAATAATTTAGTTTAAATTCTTTATTACATGTATGTATTAGAGCACTCCTTTGACCCAGTGAACCGATCCGTGTAGCGCCATGGTTTATTTATTTATAGATATGACATTAAATGTATTAAGAAATATACTATATATATATATATATATAATATATATATATATATATATATATATATATATATATATATATATATATATATATATATATATATATATATATATATATATATATATATATATATATATATATATATATATATTGCTAAAGGTAATTATGTAAATTGTCAAGGGTAATGTACCCGTAAAGAATTTAGCGTGGGTGTTTCGTAGTCGCGTGTATTTTTTTAAGGATGGAAATCATTTTACATTTTCGATTGATTTTAAACGTATTGATCTCAAGCGGAAAGAAAAGTGGGACAGACAGTGTGCACAGCATTAGTCGCTCCCCTAAGTTTAAAAATAGATTAATCACGTGGTATGTTTTACAATGTACATCACTATGGCGCCATAATGATGTTGCGAAATTTACATTAAAACATTGTTTAGATAATCTCTTTTCTCCTTCAGTAAATGGAAATATGACGGTTTTTTAAACGATCAGATGTTTTTTTTTATAAACTTCTTGATTTTGAACTAAACATTTTTTTGATGTTTGAGAATGGAAATTAAAATATACATTATATTTGTAAATGACCAACATTTCTGCTTATTCAAAATAAAAGTTTATTCACACGCTTTCGCAAGCTAAAATGGCACTCGACCTATTGGGTAAAATATTTATGTAAGTTCGATATTGCGTTCGTTTGGACCACTTTCTTCGAAATCCTTTACACAAGTAATCTCCCTTGGATATTGTAATGGGTGAATATTGTTGCACCTTTAATGGGAGGGGAGAAATATGACCATTATCGAAAAGAGGACTTGAACCAAACGTCCAGGCACTTTAATAACGAAAGACATTGTATCCTTATCACCCATATTCCGGCCATTAACGATGTTTTCACCCTTTTATGTTCAAATTCTATATGTATTGTTAAAGATCTGTAAATGTCATTACAAAGTACAAAACGAAAAGAAAAATGACACTGTACTTAAATAGAGCGGTGAATTTCGGTTTGATAAAGATAATTATAAAGATATAAAACAATGAAATTCCTCAGTGTTAAATGTACAATTAAGTAAATAGTTATTAAGTATATAGTTGTTTATTCGAACATTTCGATTATAAACCAATTTAATTCAATAGATATGAAAAATCACTATAGATTAAAATACATTATTTTATAAAGTTACGTTGCTAACAGTGACATTATTCTAATTTATGAGTTACGTTGCTAACAGTGACATTATTCTAATTTATGAATAACGTTGCTAACAGTGACATTATTCTAATTTATGAGTTACGTTGCTAACAGTGACATTATTCTAATTTATGAGTTACGTTGCTAACAGTGACATTATTCTAATTTATGAGTAACGTTGCTAACAGTGACATTATTCTTATTTATGAATAACGTTGCTAACAATGACATTATTCTAATTTATGAATTACGTTGCGAACAGTGACATTATTCTAATTTATGAGTTACGTTGCTAACAGTGACATTATTCTAATTTATGAATTTAGATTTGGACGTTACTTGCCAACAACTTCACTGCGTTGAAATAGTAAATGGGACATTAATTATAAAAAAAGTATAGTTCTTAAATAAAGCTCACTTAAAACTGCAGATTTACAACCGATAATTAAGTTTAGAAAAGGGGCTACACTTGATTATTTTCTAATTTGGCAAAATACGTTTTTAGTTTGCCATGTTCAACCGCCTTCCCAATATAGATTTATTTAAAACAAATTAGTTTGGGAAATTTAAACATTAATATTCGTTTGTATAAATGATATACGAATACGCGTTTATCCGTCTCTGAATACTACATACTTGAAAGCGTTACGCACGTTTATACTCGTACTATATTTCTTATAATAGTTATCGCGTTACGTTTACGTCTGACATAGGCACGCGTGACCGAAGTTGAATAAGTAGGACCATGGTTGATCATGATATTGCAAATTATGTTATTATATATAACTAATTACGTTGTGGTTGAACGCACCCTTTCACGTTTCGGCTACAATCAATGCATTTAGAAAACATGTGCTTTGGCAATTATCTATTTTTGCCTTTGTTCAATTTCTTAAGCCAATAAGCGTTTATAGTAATAGTAGAAAATTACTATATCGTCTTTTGAAGTCCTAAAATAGTGAGGTTAATCTAAAATGAACGAAGTCAAAATGATTAATTTAAAAGAAATTTTATCATTCAAATATATCGGTCGCGAATCAATAGACCTTTGAATTGAGTATAACCTACGTATATCGATCTAATGAACCACACTGAATATTTTATAACAAAGAAACTGGGCGTTAGGACTTATGTATATAAACAAACCGCGTAAACACTTGCATCAGTTCAGTCAACAACTGACCATAGCGTAAGAGCTCTCTTGAAACGGAGGAAAATCGTTGTAGAGTTATTGTGTTAAATTTTTAGAGCGAAAGAATGATTCCCGGTGTAGCATCTTCATTGGCGGAAACAATTTTTTGTATGAACAAATTTGGACCTTTAGTGTCTTTCCTTAAGCCAAAGAAAATTACACTTCCGGGCCCAAAAGGGCTCCCTGTTATCGGAAATATTCATCAAGTGGATTCTAGTCAAATGGAAAAAACGTGTACAAATTGGAGTAAAATTCACGGAAAGTTGTTTCAATTCAAAATGTTCAGAAAACCTGTTGTTGTAATATCGGACGCTGATCTGTTACGTCAGGCGTTTACTAGTCAATCTTTACATAAGCATTTGAACGATAGGTCCGAAAATGCAACAAGTCACGTGTTCAAAGGCAGACGACATGTCGGATTTGCCGATTTAAACGAAAAGACTGATAAATTGCGGAATGTTCTCAGGATTAAGGTCCTTCAGTATCAAATGAAAGACAGTCATTTTCAAAAATGTACACTAACTGCGTTAGAAAACTTTTTAGTACAATGTAAACAAAAATCAAATACAGACATAAATCCCGACGTTCATTTAAAGGAATTCTTATCTGATTTGCTTTCAATAATGGTAAGTTAATTGGAAATAACACCTCTCCATAAAAGCCGCGGAAATTTAATTAAGTTTACACCTTTTGATTTTCATAAAATTATTCATGTGAAAATCACTTCAAATATTAGTATTCAACAAAATTCGTATTCGGTTAATATCAAGCTACACCGCAATTTTTAGTTAAGAGTCGAGGATACCAAAGATTTTGTTTCTCAAAAAATTTTACGACATTTCCATAACGTTTTTGCGACACAATCTAAAATGTCCAATTTTTTAAGTTATGAATTACATTGTTTGTATTTTCTTTCTTTATGGTGATATTTACATGTTTGAACATAATATATTTTCAGCTGATTGGCGAAACTGTGCCAGCAGACGACCCAGACTCCCAGTTGCTATGGGAACTGATAGACCATTTGTACACCCTACTGGAACCAAGCATAGACGCACCGTTGAGGCTGCTACCATTTCTGAGATTTCTACCAGGCAAATATGGAAACATTTTCCGGGAAACGATTAAGGCTCGAGATGGAGTTGCGAGAAGATATTTCGATACGCAAAAAGTATGTCTGTAATTATAGATCTATGCGATAAGTTTGAAAATTGGAATTATTAAATTTGTACCCATCAGAAAATTGGGAAAATTTAACAAATCTATTAAATATTCAAACTTATCCTATGAGTATACACATATATGTTTAAATGGCGTTTTTCTTAAACACCAGTATGCTTAAAACATTGGGTTGAAAACAGGATATTTTCACAAATATTAGACCTTTCAAATGTGGATTTTTTAAATGTCCGTAAATTAGGCAAATATTATCGTCATTTGTCGAGCACATTGTTTTGTAAATTGTCTCAAATATTTATTTCAAATTATACATTTATAGCATAATTATCGGGTAATCGAGAAACTTGTGAGATTATATGAATGTGTTTTAAATATTGTATGATAAACTTTGTCCTAACAGAGCACCTACCAGGAAGGTCGTGTACGGGGCTTGGTTGACGTCTGCTTAAAATTACAGCACGAGGAGATGCAGACGAAAGGTGAAAGTTGGCTAACAGACGACTATATTAAAGGTCTTATGTACGACACTGTAGCAGCAGGTAACTAAATCCTTATTGGTTGTTATTAACGTGACGTAACGTAACGTAACGTAGTTAGTTTCGCTGCCCCTCCCGGGTACGCCTTTTGTACCTTTCCCGATATGTGTCTTTAGTTTCTGTCCGGTGCCCTGCTGTGCACATTTCCGGCGGTTTTGTAAGACTTGGTGTTTCGGGGGTACCTTTCGGTGAACCTCGCAACCGTCGATCTTTATACTTATATTTTATTCACAAATGATGCTTCCAGCTTCCAAGAAAATAATATCTAATTTATAAATATTATAAAAATAACAATGGCTGCATATGCAATTTTGATACTTATTGTTTTGAATATATCACGTGACCACTGACTACTAAAAGATTCAGATATCGAAAATTTAGTATGTTAATTGTAACTTATAATCTTGAATTTTTATTTTGCTTAGACAATTGAAAAAAAATCAAGCTAGTTTTAGTTGATCCTGTAACAAAACCATAAAAAACGCCAATGACAAGTTAGAGAGCGTTACCGGGCAATCATATTTTAATTTAAAAATCAAACGAGACTAAAATCATATATTAAGCTTATATCAAACATTTAAGACAGGTGTTCAAATATTCGTAAAACCACGAATCTAAATTTATACCTTGTTTAAGGGACTCCACAAAATTTATTGTTTTAATTTGAAGCCTCTATGTTAGATAAGATGATCTGAAATATCCGTGATATTAGAACATTATTTTCTACTTTATTATTTTATCATGTAAAAAGTATTTGTTTATAAAAAAAATATTAAAAAAAGAGAAGAAAAATGGTCTACTTCAATAGTTTAAGACAGACGCATTGAAAATTGTAAATTCAAACCCAATATTTATTGAATCGTTAAATCATTTTTATATTATCTTGCGTTTAAAGAATGTTTTAAAACTATCTACATGCCGTTGGTTGTTCTGTTTTAGCAATATATTTGCTACACCTCAATTTGGCCCTAGAATACGACAATACGTACATCTATAAAATCTTCTTTTTTGTGTGTCTCACATGTTTGTTAAAGGAACCCCACTGAGGCCCAAAAAGCCTAAAAACACAAAACTTGAATTTCTGACATAAATAAGCTGGGTAACTTAAAACAGAAAATGATTAAAAGATAATTAATATAAAATTATTTGTGTGTTTTTATAAGCCTGATGTAATTTTTGGTAATTTTTCACAATTAGAATAATCATTCTTGAAAAACAGAGTGAGTTAATGATTTGAAAGTTAGCACACAAGTTATTGGTCTAGACCTTCTTGAAATGGAACATCAATATCGAAAATTTATTTCCAGGCCTGTCATGTCAAAAAACCACAGGGGAGTCCCTTTAACTTTGGAAAACAATGTAAAATATATATTTCAATACTTTTCAGCTTAAATAATTGTATATTTGATAGCAAAATTGTTTTTCATATTTCAATAGCAAACTGATTATAATAGATTAAGACAATATAATTAGATATACGTAAAAGGTGAAAAATATGGATCAAGTTTAGAAAAAATGTCACAGTTAACTTGACTTCAGAAATATTATGTTACTATTTATATATATGAACATGTAATTTACTGTATTATTATCTATTTATAGATATATAGTTATCTTTATGGTTTATTAGCTATGTGTAAAAATCTGGCATGCATACTCGTATTTAATTTGTTGTTGCTTTTGAAATTGTACGAGTAATCCCCGTAGACACGTGAAAAGTAATAACGTGTTTCGTAACCATGTTGCTGCATTATGAATAAATGATTATTGTGGTTATTACTTTTTCTGTGTACGGTTCTAGACACTCCTACACCGTTTTTATAATTCAATCTACCACTCGGTAACCCAGACTATTTACCGTATACAAATGTACGTGTAACGTGGGTTCCGACGATGATCGAATTGTGTCGATTTTTGACATGGAACAACATTGGTTCTTTTGCTTCCTAATCTTCGTCGTTTGTGTCTATAAATTGATAAAAATCTTATCCATACTGGACTCAAATTAAAACCTCTCTTTTATCACCCCAGGAATGTCGGAGATGATGAAAAGCGTACGCATGCTTATTTTACTGATGTGCCATCACCAAAATGTTCAGTCACGTGTTCACACAGAAATCGATGACGTTATAGGTACGTCATCTATCCCATGCTCCTCGCACCGGAACCAGATGCCATACACGGAAGCAGTCATAATGGAAATGTTGCGATACGTCAGTCAGACGCCATTGGCTATACCCCACAAAAGCAACAAAGATGTCGTTCTTGATGGTCATTTAATTGAAAAAGATTCCGGGGTAAGTGGAAACGTAAAGCAATAGACCTTTTAGAAATCTAGAAATAAGACTTAATCTGGAAAGCATTTATATAATTTTACTGCACGCTGATAATTTGATTATTTGTTAGATCTTCCATAAAGATCTGCGTCATCCCGATATATACAAAAATCTAATATTACAGATTTAATGAAAGTGACTTTGCCAACATAAAGCTCGGTAAATAAAATCAAATATAAAGGAGCTCCACCGAGGTCAAAAAGCCTTTTTAAAAACATAAAGTTTAAAATTCTTACATAGATCAAGTATAAGCTCTTAAATGGAAAAATCTGCAAAGGATAATAAAAAAATATTCTCGAAATAAAATTGAATACAGATTTTCTGTGTGATACCTAGCCTGGTTTGTGACGTTGCTACGCAGATTATGTTTTGAAAGTTAACTGCTCACAAAATCGAAAAAAAGTTTTGGCAATCAAGCAGATATGTTTTTGTTATATAGGTCAGTCGATACTAACCATTTTGGACAGATTAACGTTCGAAAGTTATCATTATTATACTTTTTTCACTATTTTAGATTTTTCCCAACATATGGGGTATTCATCACGATGAGGCAGTATGGGGCGACCCTTGGGTGTTTAGACCAGAAAGGTTTTTAACGGAGGATGGTCAGCTTTTACCAGCAGATCATCAGTTGAGGCGAACGTAAGTGTTGACACAATATTCAAAGTTAAATTACTATAATTTATCCGAATAAATAAGTAAGTAAGTATATCCGAATACTTGCAAGTATTACGTCTGCTTACGTTTTCATCTGGGGGCAAACTCGTCAGTCTTGGTTCTGTATTGTAAAAAACATTTTTTCACTCATTTGATTGTGACGGTAGCAGAAACAAAATCATGTATAGCTATACATTTTCATTTTCTTTTCTTCAGGTTAATACCTTTCTCTGTTGGTAAGAGACGTTGTCCTGGTGAAGATTTTGCAATGTCAAGGTTATTTCTCCTACTGACGTCAATGTTACAGAGAATAGAGTTTACGCCCCCTGTCGAAGAGGAACTTCCTTCGGCAGATCCTAGGCTTTATACGAACAAATACCCCTTACAGTTACCGGTGTTTACGTGCAGAGCAGTACCAAGGGAGACAATTTGAGAAACAATAATTGTACTCTCTAATACGGAGTTGCGTTTTGTCATTGGCGGAAGTGGAGTTGCAGACGGCGTTTTGGCGGGCATTTTTTTCTGAGAATCAAAATAAATGTTTTTATATTGAACGTTCTCTGATCTCGAACACAGCTTGAAAGTCTTGATGGCGACTTTTTTTTCTAAAAAGTATTATTGTTTGTCATTATATTTATAAACATTACTGATGCATTCAACTACGCATTTTTTTGTCTTACGTTTTTGTGTCTATTTATTTATGTGTTTACTGCATGATTTTATATTTGCTGTATTATATGCTAACTTGTCGGAATGTTTCTGCTGATTTCGTTTGTTAACTTTATGAATGCATATCTCCAGATTTATTTTAAAATCGGGAAAACTGGATTTTTAAAAAACGTTGGTCTACATTTCCTTTTGTGTGGTTTTTAACAGGTAAAGAGTTATATTTCATTAAAAAAATTCCGTTTATAGTTACTAAGACTAAAGAAGAGATATTTATTTTATTAAATATTTTGTTTTATTTTATAAGCAGTTTGTGTATGTCCAACATTGTTATTGAAATGTATTAAAATCAAAATGACTTAAAACAGTCAATGCAATGATTTTTAAACAATGATATTAATGGCATATTGTCATTTATAGATATATTTTAATACAAACATATAGATCTACTTAAGTAAGTAATTCAATACATATTTTAAATAAATCTGGAGAAATGCTGTTTAAAGTTTTGTTTTCGGAGCAGAAACACCCGCTTAAAGTTTGTACAGCTTAGCAATTTGGTACACTTGTTTGAATAAAATGACTTCCTAGGTAGGGTTTTTTATTTCGAAGTTATCAAATTGAAAATAAACAAAAAAACCCTTAAAATATCAGTGTTGTCACCTTTTAATCAATAAAAGAGGATAATTATATTGATAACTTGATTTTGTCAAGGAAATACATGCATGTGTACTAATTAAAGATGTACTGTGTTATTTGTAATTTTTAAATGTTTTTTAAATGCCATGTCTTGGGCAATAAACAGTAAAATGTGTAAAAATTCTTTCCTTTTGAATTTCGATTGCTATTTTTGCCTTGAGAAGAGTATGATGTTCAAAGAAATTTCCCTGATGTGGACTGATAGTTAGCAGAGGTAAGTATCACAAATGATGAAATACTTAACTGTGAATTTTCTCGTGCGACAAGTGCAGACAAAGACCCTAGAAACGATGAGTGGTTTCATAAAGATTGTAAAATGGACGAGTCCATTTAAGATATAGGTTACAATAATGATAAAATTCACATATAATAAAAACATAGAAAAAATGAAATAAGAAATAGCCTAGTAATCGAGTAGTGTTTGTGTGAATTAGCCTTTACCCCTTTAAAAATATTGAACAGATCGAAATCGAATCAGAAGAAACCCCCTTCCACTTATACCTGCGGCATTTAGGTCAGCGCGTAAATTAGACATTAACTATTTAGGTGCAGTTTCAGTTAAGGAAACATAACTTGTGATTTCTTCACATATGCAAGATCTTTGAGTTACTTACCTTCTCTGTTAAAGTTGCTTGTCATTAAACTTTTTCTGCTGGCAGTTTAAATAAGGCCTGTGTAGTATTGAAATTCATTACAGTAAACTATCAAATTCTCAATTTAATTTGATAATGCCTTTTTAAAACGTTAACTTGAGTTTTTCGCACATTCTTGCTACATTTTTGTTATGTTGGCGACTTTTAAACTTTACTGATGTGGGAAGACCTTAGACGCAACATCGTGTATCATTTCAAGCTCGAACATGCGAGCCACAGACCTTTCGTTACATAGCTAGCAAAATAGTTTTCTGGCGTGTAAAAATCATAGTCCCCGACAGGAAACCGAACGAACAGCATCGCACCTGATTCGAAGTACTAAAGTATACTTAAAATTAAAAAATATTCACCCGCCCAATGGGCCTATATGTCATCATATCTTATGCAGCATTAAAACATGTCATCACAAAAAAACTAGTACTAACACTGTGTGAAACAAGTTGACGTCTGAAGGACTGCAGGCCTTATTGAGCATTTTTATCTGTCGCCATTTTGGTATTTCTAAGATAATAATATCACAGTGGAAAACACCCTCTCACGTGACAAAAGTACTAAAAATAGGTATACGAAAACGGTCAGCGGTTTCGTGTTTGATATAATGATTATACCGGACTTAAGTCGATATTTACCGGCTCATCATGATTCACATTTACTAAAAGAACAAGATACTAAGTGTTGTCAACTTCTTGGGACTTGTAAACTGACAATATTTTTCAACCAAATCAGCAATCTAACATTAAAAAGATAACAATGAAATCAGTTCTATCCAACGAATATATTCTTTTATTTTCCGATCAACGATCAATTTCAAACTGGACACCATCTATGACATTCGATTTCTGTCATAAACATGTTGTATTCTGGCCCTGCCTCCTCAAAACAACCGTTCATTTCAACACATTTCTTCAAATCGAGGTCGAAGGTCCAAATCTTTGTCTCGTCACAGGGAGGGTCAATTGTGGGCGGAGGCTCTAAGCAGTAGGGGTCAACTGTAAAATACATAGATATTTTATATGAAAACTGTGTACATATCAGCAATTGTGAAGAAAAAGGGTGCTATTTTCCAAGGCAAAGATTTTTGCGACATAAGAGTATGAACAGAAAGCTTATCTGAGTTCAAAACGTCGCGGGAAACATAAACAACTGAAAATCTGACATAGATCAACTGGAGCAGTTAAAATGGAAAAAGATATGAAAAAAATAAATATACTCAGAATTAAAGTAGAACAATAATTGCTAGGATTTTTAGTCCGGTTTGTGTTAAAGCATTTAAACACTTTTCATTTTAAGGTCATTTTGCACAGTTAAAAAGGATTATTTGAGAAACACGGAATGAGCAAAAGATCTGAAATTTCGTACATAAGTTATTGATAGAGAACTTTATCAACTGGTATAAAAATGGTAAACGAAGTCTTGAAAAAATATTTTCAGTTCCGTCAAGTCGAAAAACCTCAGTTGAGTCCCTTTAGGGAAAAGATTAAAACAATTCTGTAAACATTCGACGATTTCTTTGCAACCTATGTGTTATTTGCCATTTCTACATCAATCGATTTATACTTTAACGGAGAGTTCATTCTGCTTAAATGGCATATGAACTTGAAGGAAAGTTAATTTCTTGCAACAATCAAAAAGTTATCAATACAAATAGGTGTTACAAATCAAAGATTGAAGAGCAGATAGATATATATGGATACAAATTTTCTAATTTCAGATTTCGATTTTAAAAACTGACTTTTTTGCACGCCGTCCTTTTACGATGGCAATGAAAAAATAGATACATGTATGACGTACAAGATATACAGTGAAATGGTTAATCAAATATATAACTCACGTTGTTCTGTTGAAGGTCCGGAGTCCGAGTCCTCGTCTTCACCAGCATGTACAATACCACTTATCATACAGAGTCCCAAAATAATCAGCTGAACTTTCATTCTGTCTTCTATTAATAAGAAATGTAAAATATTAATTTATTGACTACGATATTCATAATTTTACAGTTATGTCGACACATTTTTTGGCAATAAGTAAAGTAGTAGTGAATTAGTAATTTGTATTGAAGTCAAAATACTACTTTGTTCACATTTTGCTACTTTAACGACAAATTATTTCACATTCATCGCTACTTTCGTCAGGTAAAAAAGTAACTAACATTCGCTAAAACCATTACATTTATTTAATCATTATAAAGTGTATGTTTGCCTTTCTAAAGAAGTAAAAGCATATCTGCTCTGAGGCGTAATGTGCCTTTAATAATTTTACCGCTTACTCGACACAGTTACAGAGTAGGTCACATTAATATTGTATCTTTTCAAATCTGTATCGTGACATTTAATACGCTTGTTTCTTTTGTGTTTTATTTTTCTCAGTGAATTAATTTTCCATAAATATTCATTTTTTTTAGATAAATGAATTACCATTCAATCTTCAAGAAGTATTTACATGATTTTTAACAAGTTTTCTATTATCATGGAACAAATTTTTCATAAATATATAATGCATTTGATGTAAATTGATTAAATTACTTAGTGTATAAAGCGATTATATATATTTGCAACCTATATTTTACGAATTTATTATTTAAATAAAAAAAATATCATACTTATACAAATATCTGTATGAAAGGAAAATATTTGTATGATTCCTTGAAAAGCACATTTAAACGGTTGAAACCCTCAAACAATAGCAGCATTACATTCTATATATTAAAACTGTTTCGAAAAACAACCTTTTCATTATTTAAACAACATAATTTTATTGTTTGTAAATTTTATAAAAAGCATTTTAAGTTTCAACTTAATAAGGGTTATTCAAAATTCTTTTTTTTTTAATTTTCGTAGTGTTTTTTTTTTCATTTGATAAAAAGTGAAATAAAAATATGACAAACTATTTTAAGATACAATTAAAGAACACAACCAACCAACCTTTTATCTTTCAAATCAAAACTCAAAATAAACGTGCTTGAAAAACAAATCGGGACCAGCGGCAGATGCTACATGTACAAATGACAAGTTGTGTCTTTTTTATTTTTATTTATTATATACATGTGGGTAGATGAAGAATAAGTATGACAGATTAGCTGACCAATGCAACAGATTGTTTAAAAACCTTTTCGTTTTTCCCTTTTTCAAATATCGTAAGCATTGTTTTTAAAAAAATTTTCAAATTTTCAAGCGGGTTTTGTTTAAAAGAATTATAAAGGAAATGATTCCAGACTCATTAAAATAACAAAGGGTTTTTTCTCGATATTTTTTGAGCTTACTTTGTTTATGAGACTTTCACTTTAAAAAAATTAAAAATTTGATGAAACAGACAATTGTCCAAAATGAACTTAATACGGATAAATATCTTGAAACCCCAATTTGATTCAGAATATAAAAAACCTTAGATAAAATTTAAATAATGAAAAAATTTAATTTGAAAAAAACTAAATTTTAAGCATACACATAAAAAAATTTTCAATTTATTCTTACCTACATTAATTTTAAATAAATTAAAATTAAAAAAAATTATTGTTTAATTTTTAAAGAATTGAACTAACGAAATATATAATAATGTAATTTTTAAATATCAAACTTTTAAATTCTTAATTCATTTTGTTGGGGTAAGGATAAAAGGCAACTTCTTTTGAAAAAAAAATACTTTTAAACTCAATTAAAATTTATTTTTCTTTTACATTTTAAATTTCTGTACATAAGGAGACAATTTTAAATTTTATTTTCAATAAAAGTTTGTGTTGCACCGAAATTAGTTTTAAAAACACAATTTAATGGGGGTTTGCCAAAGGAAAATTTGTCTCAAATCAAGAATTTCACAGGACCTTTAAGTTCCCCAACCTTTTTCTTTAATAAGCTTTTTTCTTTTATTTGCTTTTCTAAAATTTTCGCCCTAAATTTTACATGTTTTCTTTTTTTTCAAAACCCATTGTTTTCGTATTTTCTGACAAGCGCCATTGACAGATTGTGCTAGAATTTAGCCAGTGGCGTCACTGGTAGCATCCTGTCAGCAGACGACATGTTTTTGACCTTATCATGCCCAACATGTTACAGTCACGTGGTCTTTCTGATGATGAATTAATCAAAATCTGACCACAATTGATGAGCGGTGGCACTTCAGCAGTTCATAGTGAGTACATTATTTAAACCATTTTTATTGAATTTTGTAGTTTTACAGACCTTTAAAAACTGATTGGTATATTCACTTACCATAATCTTTTTTTATTTAGTTTTCAAGGAATAAGAAAAATATTCTACATAAAAATTAAAATTTTGTAAGCAAATATTAGTCCATAAGCATTTGTTACACCTTTTTGGCTTTATTTTACATTTCTGTACAATTTTGACGCCTAAAGATGGCAAGTGTTAAAGGAAAGTAATGTAAATTACTGTTTAAATTACGACAATATATAATAACACGTATTTACAATGAAGATTGGATCTTTTACCATCCAACGTATCTATGTACGTTATCTCATATTCAACGCCGCCTTTCGCGCTTGTTGATCTTGTTTATTATTTGTGCATTTTCACAATAAGTACCAGACAATTTTTGACGCAGTTTAAAGACTACATGTATACTATTGACTGAACTGAATTAATTTTATTGGTGTTGGTGATGATGAATGATTATTGGAGAGATATGTAGATGGATAATGTTGTTGTTATTATTATTATTATCTTTTTTATTATTCTAGATAACTTGCTGGCTAATTAAAATAATGCTTTCTCGCTAATTCCCGTGAATGTATATATAAAATTATATGATATATTTTGACATAATTATAGGTATGTTGGGTTTTATCATTTTTCTCTGCTGTATATTGTATAAATATAGTTCTATTATTAATTCCCGCTGTATCTTTTTGATCCATATCTATTTGTTAATTACTTTACATTCACGTTTTTGCGCAAATTTGTCACGTTGACGTTGGCGTCCTAACGGACGTGACGTCAAATACTTTGTACGTTATTCTGATGAAGACAACAGTCGAAACTGGTAATTATTAAAGAAATATGTGTTGTTTTGGTATATTTTAACTGAAATAAATAACATAATGTTGAATGTGAATTTAACTACTTAAATTAAAATATGTTTTGTATTTCAGGAAAAAAGATAAAAGGATAAAAGGAAAACATGAAGATAGTTCTAGGAAACATTTTCATTCTGTGTTTGGTATATGTAATGCTGTCAAGTGCAATTGCTGGAGAAAAAAATGGTAATATATAAATATATATTTCGCTACTAAGAAAATATTAAGTTGTAGTAATGTTAGCATTAATCACTAGTTTGTACCATAATTTTACTGCTCAACAAATGAGTGTTACTTAGGTAGGTAGTTGGTACTTGAATATTCGAATAACCAACTACCTACTAGCTGGTTGTTAGTAATTGGTAATTCCCAAGTATTAAACAACTGGTCCTTGGTAATTATATCCACTATCAATAGCTTAAACATATCATACATTTTTAATCACAGAATAAAGGAGGGGACCTAGTTAGTTATTCACGCGAATTCCCAACTACATACCGGCAGGTAGTTGGTAATTTGAACTTAACATGTTTATATGACAAGATTGGTGAATTCTACCAAATGTTATCACCCTGACTACCTACGACGACCAGGGGACTTTGTGTTGGTAATTCACGTGAATTGCTAAAAAAATACTTTCTGAATTGAGGGGAAAACATTCAAAGTTCGATTTACCAATTACTTTTAAGTAGGTAGTGGTTAAGGTGTCTGCCTCTCAACCCAGAGATCATGGGTTCGTTCGAGCCCTACTCGGATCACGACCATGTTTCTTCATATGACACCAGTACTGGTTGGTTCCAGGAAGCGGACTCGAAAGTGATTAATATAAGTTGCAATAACTTGTTTCGCAATCGAGGTGAAATATATATGTTTAAACCAAGTAGGTAGTTGGGTATACGCGATAATTACCAACTGAGTCCCCTGGTTGACAAAAGAAGGTAAGGTGTTTTCATTTAAAAGAACAGATCTTTCTTGTTATATATCCGTTATTTTTAATCCGGAAATGTTCTTTTGTTTTGATGGACAACATGCAAAGTACGAATTACCAAATACCTTCCAGTTGGTAGTTTGGTATTCGCACGAATAACCAACTGAGTCCCCTGGTTAAGGGGAAATACCATCTTTCTTGTTATAAATCCGTTACATTTATTTTGGAAAGTATCTTTTAATGGGGAAAACATGCAAAGTTCGAATTACCAACTTACTTCTGGTAGGTAGTTGTTGATTTACGCGAATTACCATCTAGGTCCTTTGGTTGACATAGGGAGCCGAGAATTAATCCATTTTGCCATATATTTGTTACTTTTATTCTTATTTTTTACTGTTATTTTTGAATACATATAGTGTTCCAATAACCAACTACCTTTTGGATTGAAGTTGTGATACACGCGAATAACCAACTGATTCCATTATATGGAGACATATGGAGAAAAATGAAGAAACACATCTAATCTTGCGTTTGCATTTATTCTAAAAATACTTGTGTTTTTGAGGACAACATGTGGTGAGTCCTGTATGGCAGTGTGACATTAGTAACTGTGTCAGTAGTGGGCTCTATGTGTCAGTAGTGCCTGTGTAATCAGTGTGTTAGTAGTGTCCTGTGGTGTCAGTGGTGCGTCTGTGTTTCTAGGTGTGGAGTAAATGTCATGTCGTGTCAGGCCAGTGGGTGGGTTTTTTTTGGAAAAGTTTAAAAAGTTGTTTCCCCCCCCTTGTGTGTCAGGTCAGTGTGTCAGTAGTGTCCTTGTGTGTCAGTAGTGGTCCTGTATGTCAGAAGTGTCCTGTTATGTCCGTAGTGCCCTGTATATAGAAGTGTTATGTATGTCAGTAGTATACTGTATGTCAGTAGTGCCCTGTGTGTCAGTAGTGCCCTGTGTGTCAGTAGTGCCCTGTATGTCAGTAGTGTCCTGTGTGTCTGTGTATCAGTAGTAGTGCCCTGTGTGTCAGTGTATCGGTAGTGCCCTGTGCTGTGTCAGTAGTGCCCTGTGTGTCAGTGTATCGGTAGTGCCCTGTGTGTGTCAGTAGTGCCCTGTGTGTCAGAAGTGTCCTGTATGTCAGTAGTGCCCTGTGTGTCAGTAGTGTCCTGTGTGTCAGTAGTGCCCTGTGTGTCAGTAGTGCCCTGTATGACAGTAGTGTCCTGTGTGTCAGTAGTGCCCTGTGTAGCAGTAGTGTCCTGTGTGTCTGTGTATCAGTAGTGCCTTGTGTCAGTGTGTAAGTAGTATCCTGTGTATCAGTAGTGTCCTTTGTGTCAGTGGTGCCCTGTTTATCAGTGTGTCAGTAGTGCCCTGTGTATCAGTAGTGTCGTACGTGTTAGTGTGTTCTGTGTGACTGTGTATCAGTAGTGCCTTGTGTATGTCAGTAGTGGTCTGTATGTCAGTTCCTGTGTGTCAGTGTGTAAGTAGTAAACCTGTGTTCAGTAATGTTCCTGTGTCAGTAGTGTCGTTGTTTTTGTCAGTATGTCTGTGTGTCGGGAGTGCCTGTGTGTATGTCAGTAGTTTTTTTAGTAATTTTGTTAATTGTTTGGGTTACAATTGTTAGTATTTAGTAGGAAGTTGTTAGTATTTTTTAGTAGGCGGGTCAAGTGACCCTGGTGTCAGAAATGTTCCATGCCAAAGGCCCCTTGTTAATAATTTTTTCCCTGTTATCATTTTCTTGAACTTGAAATTGGCTGAAATTTTTTTCCCCCAAAAATTTTTGCTGTTGGTTAGTGTTAAAGTAGTTCCTGTCGTATATAGGTTTCAAAAAGGGTAGTTGTTTTGGTAGAAAAGGCCTGTTTGTAAAAAAAAGTTTCCTGTTTGTCAAATTGTGGGGTAATTCCTGTTTTTTAGGTAATGGTGAGTGTTTTTATTAATTAATTTTAATTTAAATATTACTTTGGTAAAAAGGAAAAGATTTTTATAGTATTTATTTAGAAAAAAAATTGTTAAGGGGAAAAATTTTTCGGGAACGGAATAATTCGTAACCTTTTAACCCGTATCAACAAAAAATGTAATGCACCAAAACCCGTTGATTAATCTTTTTGGGGAATCCTTTTAATTAAACCTTTGGAAATTGAAATTTGGAGAATGCATTGATTTTTAATAAATTTAAAATTTTTTTTTAAATTTAAAACTTTTAGTTGTTCCTAAAAAGTTCTTTCAATGGCCGCGCATTCCGGGTTGTTTCTAGGGGTTTATTATAAAGGGGTTTTACAAACCTAAGTATAAAAAAATTATTTTTTGGTCCAAAATAAGATATAATTAAACCTTTAAACTTTTAACCAAATAATCAATATTGCAAGACAAACAAACAACCCCAAAAAAGAAGGCCAGACAGATGAATTCTACCATATGATATCACCCCGCACTCTACGTCGACCAGGGGACTCATTTGATTATACGCATGAATCCCCAACTACCAACCAGAAGGTAGTTGGTTATTCGAACTTGGCAAATTTTCCCCTCAAAACAGAAAGTACGTTTCCGGAATAAATATAACGGATATATAGCAAGATAGATGTGTTCTACCAAATGGTATCACCCCGCACTCTACGTCGACCATTGGATTCATTTGGTTATTCGTGTGAATCCTTAACTACGTACCAGAATGAAGTTAGTAATTCGGATATTGCATGCATGTAAATGGTTAAGAAATGTTACCGTTATAAAACAAGATATGTATTTTCTATAATACGGTTACACCGCTTGACCATTAATCAGTTGGTTATTCGCGTGAATCAACAACTATCTACCAGAAGGTAGTTGGTAAATCGAAATTTGCATGTTTACCCCTAAAAACATATTTTTCCAGAATAAGTATGACGTATTTATAGCAAGATAGATGTGTTCTTCAACATTGAAACACCCTGTCTCCCTATGTCCTCCAGGGAACTCTGCTGGTTTTTCGCCTAGATACAAAACTACATACTGGGAGGTAGTTGGTTATTCGGATATTGCACATATTCCTCTAAAAACAAAGTATTTTTTCTGAAATAAATGTTACGGTTATATAACTAAATATGTGTTTTCCATAATATGGTAACACCACCTATACCAGAGATCGACCAGGGAACTCAGTGTGTTATTAGCGTGAATCCCAAACTACCAACCAGAAGGTAGTTGGTTACTCGATCTTCTGGTAGGTAGTCTCTAAAAATAGAAAATAATTTTTTACCAAAAAGTAATAGATATATGATAAGACAGATGAATTCTACACGCCTCCCTACGTCGACCAGGGGACTCAGTTGGTTATTTGTGTGAATTCCCAACTACCTACCTGAATGTAGTTGGTAATTCGAACCTCTGGTTGTTAGTTTGGTATTTGCGAGATAAACAACTAGGTCCTCTCCTTTATCTGTTAAATTGTTGGTAATTACGAATAACCAACTTTAAGCTATTAGGTAGTTGGTTATTCGAATATCCAACTACCAACTACCTACCAATTGACGTTCATGCTTTACAACCGCATATAATTATCTTACAGGATATATTGAATGATGAGCAAATAATTGTGCGGGTGTTTTCATATTTATTTGTTAACATCAAAGTTCAGTATCTTGATTCACTATAATTTAGTAAGGTTGAGCTTTTTATTGAAATAACTCGATGGAAACACTTTTGATATCATTTCTTAAGATGACAAAGTTTTATACAATGTTATTTGAAAGCACGCGCTGGAAAGCTGTCTGTTTCCTTTGTTACTAGACATAAACCGATATTATTGCAGAATAAAGATACGCACATTGCATTTATAGAGTATCAACGTTCTAAGCTTTAATATTTTGTGAAAATCATTTCTTTATTTAGAATTTGTTCCTTAGCAAACTTTAAATTTCATGTACAATTTCCTTTTTGTTTCTTCAGATGTATGATAAAATGTTAAAAATCATTTTTACTGTTTCAGGTAAAATGTCGATATTAAGAATATACCATATAACTATATAGAGGATATTTGTTTGTTTCAGTGTAAGATCGAAAAATATTTCACCGAGTGAACACCAGATGCAATATTTTCCACGAGTGGCGTAGCCACGAGTGAAAATATAATAGCTGGGGTTCACGAGTGAAATATTATTTGATCTTACATGTAAAACAAACAAATTTTCTGTTTATTTCATGATTTTTTAACGATTTTTACACCTTTTTACTGATTTTTGCCGCGTAACGTCATGCTCTTATCTTCATGACGTCATCAAATAATGACGTCACAATGTTGAAGCAAAATATAATTCCATGATTATTTTTAGATTTTAGATGTTTTTCAGCACAACGTTCGTAAATATTTACGAACTACAGTTATCACGTACATTTTTTATTATGATTGACTACATTTCCGCTGAAAAAACATTCATTAATGATAAATAATTTATTTTTACGCCAAATATAGTTCGGCTACTGTGAAATTATATTTGGTAATCATTACTGTGAAATTATCAGAATATAATTAACCGTTATAATTCAGTAATCTACTGCAAAACATGTAATAAAACTTATTAATTACTTTTAAAAATGAAATTAAAAGATAATGGACTCTGTAGGTTTTTCTAAATATGAAATAGAATCATTAGAACCATAATATTTATATACAAATCATAGACAACAATTTTCATACTTTACATATATTGTATATGTTCTACATTTTTTCAGTTGACGATTCTTGCTTGGAAACTGCTGAGGAAGAGGTTTCCTGTTTGTACAAGAACGCCATATGGACATATGACGTCGAACAAGAATCATGTGTAGCTAAAGTTGGTTGTTATCCGAGATATGCTCCAGAAAGTAACGTCTTCAGACAACCCGATCATTGCCTTTCATGGTGCATTAAAGCATAAGACAAGAAATATATGTTGAAGAGAACACCCTTTTCTCCTTTAGTTAAGAATAAATAAAACTGTAATGTTTCGTTAAATAAGATGACAATACTTCTAACACACTCTTTAAAATATAGAAACGATATAAAGACAAAAGCACTTTCAAACAAACATAATTATATGGAAATATTGTTTCTTTTACAATACAATATTAAGCTGAATAATTTAATCAATCTTAAAAATGTAACTTTGATTTAATAAAACTGTTTTATATTAGAAATGAATCTTTGTCTCATTCAATACCAGTTTTTTTAGTGCATCGTTATCATTTTATAAAATTTGAGTCAATGCCGATAAAACATATTATAGTGCATTCTTTGCAAGATTTCTTTCAAATGAAGCTGGTGGTTATGGATAGTCCAAACAATTTGTGCTACACTGTCAATGGTATGCTTATTTAAAGATGAATGTAACAGGTAGTCAAATGGGTAATGTCTCGAATATTCTGGAATACCTAAACCCCAAAGAGTAATAAAATGCCAGACATTTCTTATTTTTTATAACTTAACATTTTTCAGAGCCGTGCTGGTAAACTTTTAGCAGTTCGCAATAATAAGACCATAAGGTGTTGGTTCAATGACTATGAAGGAATTAAAGCGGTTCTAGATTTGTCATCGATTTTTATTGTCCCTCCACAAAAAAAAACATTTACAACTTTAGATAAACAATGCCCTGCCATACCGCCGTAAGCTGTATACCGTGCAATTGTGCTCCTTGTTTTATATGTCTTGGAACAAAAATGCGTTTGAAATGGACTTTATGTAGCTACAAATATCCCTTTGTTACATCCAAGAAATACATGATGGTTCCATGGAATATTGTAAATAAGAGTGTCGAATTATCATGAAATTTGAATTTGTACAATACAAAAATATACTCCTTTAGTTAGATCAGCAAGATGTTAAAAACTATTTTTCGTTGTTCTTATATCCCTATTTCATCTTATAATATAGAATAATAAGAATAAAGTTACCAACTTCCTTATTAAATCTGATTTAACGGCTCGGGTGATATAAAATCTTAACAGGTAATATATCCACATATATCACTCCAAAACCAAAATAATAATTTTATTACCCTTCCCCTGCCGAGTTTAGACGATTTTTTAAAAAATCATTGCTGTTTCAATTGAAACGTCGAAATAAGATTCCCTTTAGGATACCTCTTCGTCACAACATGACGTCACATAAAATACATGACGTATTTTTCCCGTACCTTACGAAAAGTAAACAAGAGAAAAGGAGTAGTCTATTGAACGCATTTTTTTGTAATTAATATCAACTTTCACAAGGTCATATTTGTTTTCGATACTGATGGTTATATGTATCATTACTCTATTTTGGTAAATATTTATCATTTGACAGTTAAAAAGTGCTTTTAAATCGGAATTTACACCGCGTATAATCGAACCGTACGCGCATCACCTCAGCGCATGTTGTTTACAACGTTGGGTACCAAACGGGGAAATTCAGTGTGTATATTACCCGTCTGGCTCGGTAATATCAATTTCTTTCGGGTGATCAATATCCAATCAAAAAGGCGGAAAAAATCTGGAAGGGTAATAAAGAATAATAAGAATAAAGTTACCAACTTCCTTATTAAATCTGATTTTATATATGTATTTATTAATTTTGTTTATGTTATCTTATCATTGTAAGAGACTTGCTCTCAGAACTTTATTTGCAAATGCAGTCTGTTGTACATAATCGTGCAGACGAGATTAAAGTAAGCAGAAACATTTTAAACGCGATCTGTGACAATTTGCTAACCTGTAATTTTCTAAACCAACCAATCTCCTACCAATTATGCATGCATTTAACAGTGTGCTCATTTAATCTCTAAAAGGATTTGTGATATGAAAGAAAAATACGCAAATTACCATTTCCCTTTTTGAAGATGCTAATGGTGATGAATGCGAACACGGCGGTATGGCAATACCGAAAAAATATCGGTCTAATAATTCAAAATTTCAGGAAATTATTTTTGAAACTTGTTATGGACAGAAAAAGAACAAGTGGCATTTCTGTACAATTTTGACTCCTAAAGATGGCAAGTGTTAAAGGACAGTAATGTAAATTACTGTTTAAATTACGACAATATATAATAACACGTATTAACAGTGAGATTGTATCTTTTTACCATCAACGTATCTATGTACGTTATTCATTTCAACGCCGCCTTTCCTTGTTGATCTTGTTTATCATATTTTCTTTTCACATAAGTACAGACAATTTTGACAGTTTAAACTATACTATTACTGAACTGAATTAATTTTATTGGTGTTGGTGATGATGATGATTATGAGAATATGTAATGGATAATGTTGTTGTTATTATTATTTTATTATCATTCTAGATAACAACTTGCTGGCTAATTAAAGTAATGCTTTCTCGCTAATTCCCAGTGAATGTATATATAAAATTATATGATATATTTTGACATATAGGTATGTTGGGTTTTATCATTTTTCTCTGCTTTATATTGTAGAAATATAGTTCTATTATTAATACCCGCTGTATCTTTTTGATCCATATCTATTTGTTAATTACTTTACATTCACGTTTTTGCGCAAATTTGTCACGTTGACGTTGGCGTCCTAACGGACGTGACGTCAAATACTTTGTACGTTATTCTGATGAAGACAACAGTCGAAACTAGTAAAGATTAAAGAAATATGTGTTGTTTTGGTATATTTTAACTGAACTGAATAACATAATGTTGAATGTGAATTTAACTACTTAAATTAAAATATGTTTTGTATTTCAGGAAAAAAGATAAAAGGATAAAAGGAAAACATGAAGATAATTCTAGGAAACATTTTCATTCTGTGTTTGGTATATGTAATGCTGTCAAGTGCAATTGCTGGAGAAAAAAATGGTAATGTATAAATGTATATTTCGCTACTAAGAAAATATTATGTTGTAGTAATGTTAGCATTAATCACTAGTTTGTACCATAATTTTACTGCTCAACAAATGAGTGTGGTACACGGTGATAGGGCGTTTACCACAACTTTTCCGCGCAACGTCAAAATATCATACTTCTGACCGTGACACCGTATATTTCTGGACAAAATATTAATGGCGGGATAACCAAATTGCAGGTTATAGCTTACAAAATATCTTACTGCTGGACGTTGCAAAATTGTTCCAATTGTTTATTTACTCCATGGAAGTTTTGAAACAATTTATCGTTAATCTAGCACAACACAATTCACAAAAAATTACATACTTCGAAGAAATAGTGTTTACAAAAGATCGAGTCTACCTCAACACTATTGTAAATATTAGGGAATATATGTTGAAAAAAGGCCTATTGACTCGAATATTGGAGCACCGTACAACACTGAATTCAAACACCGCATTCTTTTTCCGTTTGACCGATATATACTGGAACCGTTTTCATTTGCTCCGTACTTTATAAGTAACTGTTAATTAACCTGCTGTTATGTTATGTTGCTGTAATAATCATATGTTATTTTATGGAACACTTCTGAAGGTCTGGTCTTTGTAAATAATACCTGGTACCAGTTAGGTAAGTGCAATGGTATCTATATAGATATTTTTCGAACTTATTCATACGGATAAACCTCACATGGAAAGATCATTCTTTGATGAGGTTACCAAGCATAGATAAAATTGTTTCCGTGAAGAAAAAATGTTACAATACATCTCCATGGTCGTTACTGGACATCATGAGTTTCGGATAACCATTTAGAAAAAAAAAACATAATAAAATCACTTTACTGGGATGCAAGAGATAAAGCAAAGTGAATAAATTAAAAAATCAAGTGAAAAATATGATTCAGTTTAATAGTATATATATATATACACATGTACAAGGTGGTGAACCGATGCAAACTTTGTGGTTCTGTGCACGATTAAAAAACACTGAAATAACAAACTTTTAAAACACTCAGTAGAATTCATCTTATAATTTGCACCAACAATTAAATTCAAAAACATTCCTATAACCGATTTAATGTCAACCGATGGAGCCTACAACATAATTTTGGCAACATGCACGGCGGAATCATCTGAATCTGTTGAGAAATGATTATTATCACTTTCCACAACACAGTGCTTGGTAACCTCATCGAAGAATGATCTTTCCATGTGGGGTTTATCCGTTTGAATAAGATCGCAAAAAGAAAAGATATCGACTAACTTATCTATATAGATACCATTGCACTTATCTAACTAGAATTATTTACATAGACCAGCCCTTCAGAAGTTTTCCATAAAATAACATATGATAACAGCAACATAACATAACAACATGTCAATTAACAGTTACTTATAAAGTATGGTGCAAATGAAAACGGTTCCAGTATTTATCGGTCAAACGGAAAAAGAATGCGGTGTTTAAATTCAGTGTTGTACGGTGCTCCAATATTCGAGTCAATAGGCCCTTTGAAAAACATATATTCCCCAAAATTAACAATAGAAACACACAATTTTGTATGGAACTTGAATTAATGCCTAACCATAATGTATACACGAGCTCGTAAGGTCATAGAACAAATACATCGTCGTTTTAACACATGTTTTTGTGACAAGTACGAGTCATGTTGAGGTAGACACGATCTTTTGTAAACACTATTTCTTCGAAGTATGTAATTTTTTGTGAATTGTGTTGTGCTAGATTAACGATAAATTGTTTCAAAAATTCCATGGAGTAAATAAACAATTGGAATAATTTTGCAACGTCCAGCAGTAAGATATTTTGTAAGCTATAACCTGCAATTTGGTTATCCCGCCATTAATATTTTGTCCAGAAATATACGGTGTCACGGTCAGAAGTATGATATTTTGACGTTGCGCGGAAAAGTTGTGGTAAACGCCCTATAACCGTGAGGTAGTTGGTAGTTGAATATTCGAATAACCAACTAATTGGTAATTCCCAAGTATTTAACAACTGGTCCTTGGTAATTATATCCACTATCAATAGCTTAAACATATCATACATTTTTAATCACAAAAAAAAGGGGGGACCTATTTATTTTTCCCGCAAAAACCCAACTAAAACCCGGCGGGTAGTTGGTTATTTAACTTACATTTTTAAGCAAGATTGGTGTTTTAAAATTTTCCCCCGAACCCTAAAAAAAATTTTACTTATAAAAAAAATTTTTAAATTTGAGGGAAACTTTTCAAAGTTATTTCCAATTACTTTTAAGTAGGTATGTTAAAGGGCCTTCCCTTTCACCAGAGATCATGGTTGTTCGACCCCTC